TAGACACTTTACTACAGAGCTCGTATAAATGGTGTTCAGTCTATCTTCAGAACACTCATATCTGGGAGTGTTTCTGCCCATTTTATCGATGAGGAAACTGGAGTGTAGAATATTTAAATGTTTTGCTAGTGCTCATAGCCTCATAGCAGTATTGAGCCATGCAGTTTGTAACTACTTTCCTGACAGTTTCTCCTATTAGACTGCCAGTTGCATGTGGACATTGTCTAGAGCCTTCTTATTTATCACTTTTGTCCCCTGTGACTGGCACCTAAGAGGTACGCAGTAAGTATTTGCTGAATGTTGAATGTTGCCTGTTATATTACTCAAACCCAGATGGCTAAACGCTCTATTAGTCACCTAATCTTTCACTATCAAATTAAAATATAAGGAAAAACAAATTAATAATCATAGGGCACTTTATTTAATAAATGATACTCAACTTATTAAGGTAAGGATATTGAAGGAGTTGCAAATTCTTTCAAGAGAATTCTTCCTGGAGGCCATGAAAGTAATTGGACAGAATTCTGCTGCTTTTAAAATCAATTAGTTTAGGGGCACCTGGGTCGCTCAGTCAGTTAAGCATCCAACTTAGACTCAGGTCATGATCTCAGGGTTTGTGAGTTTGAGCCCCATGTTGGGCTCTGTGCTGACAACTCAGAGCCTGGAGCCGACTTCCAATTCTGTGTCTTCCTCTCTCTGGCCCTACCCCCCTCCTGTGCGTATGCGTGCACGCTCTCTCTCTCTCTCAAAAAAAAAAAAAAAAATTAAGCATTAAAAAACATTTTAAATCAATTAGGTTAGCATATTGAAATAATACATAAACCTAAGGATCAACTTTTCCGCAGATCTTTCTAGTTCTGAAAAAAACTGAATTTGCAGCACCCACTGAAGTGAGGTAAATTTTATATGTAAGGTACATATTTTTTAATGTTTATTTATTTTTGAGAGACCAAGAGCGAGAGTGAGAGTGAGAGTGAGAGCGAGCATGAGCCTGGGAGGGGCAGAGAAAGAGGGGAACAGAGGATCCAAAGCAGGCTCGGAGCTGACAGCAGAGAGCCTGATGTGGGGCTCTGCCTAAGGAACCGTGAGTTCCAGCCCTGAGCCGAAGTTACGTGCTTAAGAGACTGAGCCACCAGGTGCCCCTGATATAGAGTTTAGATATCATTTGTTAAACTATGGCTTGATATTTTACAAAATGAGAATAAGCAATGCTCTTCAGACCCAAGCTAACATGATTTGTCATTATGAATTTAAAGTAAAATATTTACTCCTAGATTCTTTGAGCTGTTAGTTTTAAATTAAAAATGTGATCAGATATTATATTTTATTATTTATTCATAATTAACAAGGCATTTTCCTGTTAATATTTGTCATCTTAAACAGAAGCCTAGAAGATTACATTCAGACAATATCATAAAAGTTTCAAATCATGATATATAGTTCTGGTATTTTAATTTTCCCCATTTAAATGTATTTATTTTATACCATGTAATAACAATAGCTAACAGAGTGCTTTCTTTCTTTCTTTCTTTCTTTTTTTTTTACAGAGTGCTTTCTAAGTGCACTCTGTGGGCCCTACATGGTTTATATAATTTCTTCCCCACCACAGCCAATGGAGGTACTATACCATTCCCCTTATATGGATGAGAACACTGAGGCTTAGAGAGCTAAAGTGACCAACCCACAGTTGTACAGCCAGTAAGGAAGAATGCTACTCTGGGCTCTCTGAGGAATGGGGTAGTGATAAATGTGTTGATGACAATCTATCTTATGCACACAGTTAATGAGTTGTTGAAAATAAGTTTCTCCATAAAATTGCATTATTTGTTTTTACTTCCAGACACAAAATAATACTTAACAGGAAGAAAATTCCCAAATCCATAAACTGTATTAAAATGAAAACAAATCCTCTGTTCAAAAATATAAACACAGTAGACTCCAATCTCACCAATCTATATTAAATATTAATTGTTTCCTTTGCTTTTCTGCAGCTATGTGGGTTTCACAAAGGACAAAAGAAATAATTGCCCAGGGATTACATAAAGCCATACATTCTATTTATAAAACTGACTAGACATTGTCAGCATTCACTACCAATGTCTTTGGTAGTATGATGACATTATAGTTGATATTTATCTTTTAATAAAAATATGAATCACTGTTTACTCCCTGAACCTAACCTCACTCATGCTAAATTATTTATGTATCCATTTTAATATGTATTTTGCATCTGACAGGACAACTCTCCTTAGGACCCCTTTACTGACCCACCTGTCATTATGATGGGGTAAACAATGTCACCTTTCTAGTGCACAATGAATTACAAAGAAGTTGCAAAGTACACCATCCATCATGATGGCACTAAGTAGGTTTTTGAAGTAGATCTCAGATATCACAAATGCTGTTTAGACTGTTACCAGAAAGCAAAAATTGGAAGCTTAGACAAAACGGTCACATGACGAATGGACATGACAGCTCTTCAAAGAAAAGGGGCACTCCTCTTCTACAAATAACCTTGTCAACAGCAAAAGTAGTGGGGAGCTTTGCTGGCACTCAGACTAGAATAATTTAACAAGTGGTTAATGGCTCAGCCTGATAGAAATTCATGCAAACCCAGTGTACTCAAAATCAAAAAGTGGGTCAGCAGCAGCAACCTCTCAAGCTTGATTTTAATTAGAGAATGGTCTGAAGAGATACAGAAAATCACCCACATCCTATTAATTAGAATATGTGAGTTTCAATAATACGCTTGTCTAAAACATATATATAACATATATGCAAATATTCTATATGCATATAAAAGTCACCTAGAAACTGCTTTGCATTTGAAAATCATAATGCTAATATAGTTTGAGTTTTAAAAAAATCAACATCAATAAATTTATTGATATAAATATTTAAATTATTATGTAGTTAGTATAATGGATTTGAATTATTAATATAATTCTAAAAATAGTTATCATTAGTGTCTTCCTTCATCTAATTTGCATGGTTAATTTCTTCAAATACAAGGTGTTTGTTTTATCCATAATTGCATTTCAGTTCCTCTAACACTACTCCCTTTGATTTAGGCCTTATTTCAAATGTAGAGTATATTTCTACATGATAGCTAAGTTTATTTTTCCCTTTTAATAGCTTCTTTAAATCTTTCTCCATACTTCTTTTTTTAAAATGGTATTTTTTATAGCATTTTATAAGTGGTAGATAATCCCAAAGTGACGTACGTCTTCATGGACATTTAGGCAGTTCCACAATTCTATAGTAGACCTTGGTTTCTTTAATATGGAACAAGGGAAATTTAAACATTTATAACTGATAAGATAAATGTGTAGAACTCTCAGAGATGTGGCTACGTGGGAACATAAAAAACTAACCCAGTGGGCCCGGCAGATTATTAGAGGCCCATGCTGAGGAAACAGGGACACAAATTATACTTTCATGCTTTTCCATATCACCTAAGTTATGGAATAATAAATAAATTGAAAAGCAAATTGATGAGGGTGATTCCAAGGACCCACACTAGCTTATGGGGTTTTGTTGTTCTGTGTTTTGGACACTTTTTTTTTTTAAGGCTAGGAGATGAATCAACTGAAATAAAGAGGGAGGTGGAAATGTGAGGGGCTAATGAAGGTTTGAGAGTCTGGGAGAAAGTATGTAGGGTAACTTAAGCATCTTGACTTGAGACCAGAACTTCTGAACCAACAAAAGAGTGCTGGCAGGTCTCCCTTTCTTTTCATTGACACACAGGGAAGTTTCCATCGTTGCCTACCAGAAATAGTATATATTAATCAAATACAATGACATGAGTCATACACTAGAAATACTGCAGAAATTAATATTATATTAACTTTTAATGAATGATAAGGCTTTCCAAGGTAGTGGTTATATATGTGGTACTTCTGCTAAAAGTCAGAGAATGACATAACAGACCGCAGACAATATGGAACCACCAGTAAATGGACACTCTCCACCCTCCCCAAAAATGAAAAGAAAAAAAAAAAAAACCACCAATAAGAATGTATCTATACAGTCACTTCAAATTATTTAAATATTTAATATATTAATCAGAGTTAACAAGGTAGATTCTTAAAAATCTGTGCCAGAATCATAGTATTGTTTCATTTGTTTTAAATGAGGCAATCTAAAGATTTATAAAAGAAACAAAATGTGCTTATTAAGCGCATGGTATTTTTACATGGAGACAGAAAATTTGCCTATATAAAGGAGACATAACCAAATATATATTGCATCCTAGTGATATATTGTCCTTACTGTGGGCTAGGCTCTGTCCTCCAAGATTACATATATTAGCTAATTTAATTTTCACAACAACCTTATAAACGTGCCACTATTATTATCTCCATTACAGAGATGAGGGGACTCAGCCCTACATGGTTAAGTCACCGTAAGTACTGTGGGAAATGAGATCTGAAACTAGTCCATGAGGCTCTACAAGCCAAGCACTTGACTGCCATGCCAAAGAACTGGCTAAGCCCGAAAAAGTAAAGCAATAATCCACATCTGGCTCCTTATCTCCTGTGCTCTCCATCAAGAAAGCAGAAGTGCTGTATCTCAAATCTTGCATCTGTGAATAATCACATCGATTTTCCACCTCATTTCTTGTGTGTGTACACGATCTCAAACACAACTGCTTTCATTTCTATTCTTTCTGTCCATATCAATCCATTAACATGTGCCTCTTCAAAAACCAAAGAATAAAATGAACTTGTCCTATACCAGCTAAACAAAATTTGAATGACTCAGTCACACATTCAACACTTTTGAATTAAATTCTTCTCACATGTTTTCACTTTCGAAATATGACAAGAAGAAGGTCAAGCGATCCAAATCTTCCTTCCCCTTCCCTGGCACCTCTACACTGAGAACATTTAATGGTTACTTTTTTATGTTACAGCTTGCCAGTGAGTTCAATTTAGATGAAAGCTGTTGTTTTCTAATTCCGTTTCACTATAAATGACAGAGACAAATGGTCATATTACCTCGAGAGTTCCTTTGGCAGAATAGGCTGCATATGAGTAAAGCAGATCTTGGCTGCTGTGTTTTCTGGCTTCTTCGCTGCAAGGCTGGCCATTAGGATGAAAGCATTGGCCACTGCTGCTCAGAGACACAGAGCTGGCAGAAGGGCCTGGCAGATTAAGCAACACAGAGTAATTTACAAACTGTACATCTTCTAGGCCCAGGGAAGTCCAGTGACTCTTAATCTTCTTTGAAATTTCTGTGTCATCTTCACTTTTATACAGTTGTACCAAATTTCTGAAAGAAATTTAAAAATCACACTCTAAATAAAGGAAAAAATTATCTCTTGAGTTATGACCATTTAATATATGAACAATTATTAACAGATGTAGGATATGAAAGATGAACTAGACAGGACACTATACAAGAAACTCACAGTCTGGGAAAGGTGATGAGCTTGCAGAGAAATTACACTAAATCAAAGCAGAATGAATTAAGTTCTTAAATTAAGAACAAATAAAGCACTATGGGAATCCAAGGAAAAAGGTGATTAATGCCAACTAGTTCTTTTATTAGTTCTGATCTTTCTGTGGACATCAACATATAATCCATTTACAACTCAGTTCCAAGACTAGGAGTCATGCTGGTGAAGACAGTTTTGTATTGCAATTAATATGATTCCATATAGAGTTATGTGATTAATATATAGCTATTGCTATTTAAAATGATCTGGAGAGTGTTGGAGTTATTACTGAGGATGCCTGGCTAGCTAAAATGCAACAGGGAGATTTCTGGTGGGCTGAAGTTCCACTTGGGAGGGGCCTGTGTCTCTTGGAATGCAGGAGGCCTGTGTAAACCACCCAGACTGGGGAATGCTCCTGGGCCTGCCCTCCCAGGCCTTTCTGCAGTCCCAGGGGAACTCCATTATCTATACATTGTATACACAGTTTAGCAAAACAATAGGACACATAGACCTTTGCTGTATATCTCTGATTTGATTATTCTCTTGTGATTGTCATGTACCCTTTGTTTTTGCATGCCTGAAATGTATGCCCTCTGTACACAACAAGTCAACTGAGATTTGTGACTGGTCTGACACTGCAATAAATGAGAATAAGCTTGAGGCTAACGGGGTTCTTCCTCTGTGAGCATTGACTCCCATTCCTTTTCTCTTTCTTAGCAAAGGGTACTCTTTCATGGGTTGGCACAGGGTTTGTTGGTCATTCCAAGCAAGAGAGAACACTTCTGATACAAATTACGTGCCACATTACCTAATACTGTGAGGGCAATGATATGCAATAAAATTGGTATATCATGCTAAAACCAACCACAGATTATCAAATCAATATGAAATTAATTTTTGCGTGTGCTTGCTGTAGTTTATATATTTCTTCCTTATCTATTCTGTAATCCAATGACACTATTTTTCCTTATGACATCCTAAAAGCCAGACAAAATCTGTAAAAATAGACACACACATGCACGTGCAAACACACGTACACACACGTATGAGCAGAACCTAGAACAAAATCAGAAATGGGAAATTTAAAAATAATAATACAATAAAGTTTTGTTTAGGGCTGGGATACAAAGGGACCAGTTTATTTTTTGACAAAAATATATCTTCTTATAAGAATTTTATTGCTATCCAAAACATTACTTAAACGGATACTACTTAAGTGGATACTGTTTTATTTTTTCCCATCACATTATTTTTCTCACACATATTTGATTCTTTTGGGACTCTATTTATTCAATAATCCCCAAATGAAAGACATCTGAAAAAGGAATAAAAAATACACACATCAGAAAAAAAATACATATAATATAGAAAAGCATTACTAGAGACAAAAAAGTAGGTGTGCTGACATAGCTAAAAGGCGGCCTATACATGAAGATGAAATAATAAATAATTTCCCAATTGCTTTCTAAGGTTATTTCTATTTTTTCTTTCTTTTTTTTTTTTTAATTTTTTTTCAACGTTTTATTTTTTTATTTTTGGGACAGAGAGAGACAGAGCATGAACGGGGGAGGGGCAGAGAGAGAGGGAGACACAGAATCAGAAACAGGCTCCAGGCTCTGAGCCATCAGCCCAGAGCCTGACGCGGGGCTCAAACTCCCGGACCACGAGATCGTGACCTGGCTGAAGTCGGACGCTTAACCGACTGCGCCACCCAGGCGCCCCTCTATTTTTTCTTAATATGCAGTTTGACCAATTATCAATGCCATGTAAATTTTATGAAAGAGTCGATTAAAAGAATTTCACTTTTTCTTCTGAAAAAGATTGGTGGGCCTTCTGTTTTGTGTGTGTGTGTGTGTTTGGCAGGGGAGGTTTTTGTATAGTTGGCAAATTAGATTGTATATATTTAAAGTGTACAATATGATTTGATATACATGTATGTTATGAAATTATCACAAATTACCACATCCATCACCTCAATATTTACCTTATGTCTGTATGTGTTGTATGTTTAAATTTTTAAAATTTCTTTTATGTTTATTTATTTTTGAGAGAGAAAGAAAGAAGGAGTGGCAGAGAGAGAGGGAGACAGGATCTGAAGCAGGCTTTGTGCTGATAGCAGAGAGCCCGACGTGGGTCTCAAACTGAGGAACCATAAGATCATGACCTGAGTCGAAGTCAGACACTCAACCCAACCAACTGAGCCACCCAGGCACTTCTGTGTGTTGAAATATTTAGGATGTCCTCTCTTAGCAAATTTGAAGTACATAATGCAGTATTAACAATACTCACCATGCTGTACAGTAGGTCCTCAGAAATTATGCATCTTATAACTGAAAGCTTGTATCCCCTTGACCAACACGTCTTCCTTTCCACCACCCCCAGTGCCCTGGCAGCTATGATTATACTCTTACTATGAGTTTGTTTGTTGGCTTTTTAGATTACATACATAAAAGATATGACTCAGTATCTGCATTTCTCAGTCTCTTATTGCACTTACCCTCTGTGAGGTATCTCTGTTGTCACAAAGCCATGATCTCAGTGTTTATGGTTGAATAATATTCTACTGCACATTGATCCCACATTTTCTTTATACATTCATCCATACATGAACACTTAGGTTATTTTTGTACTTTGGCTATTGTAAATAATGCTGCAATGAACATAAGTGCAAATATCTCTTCTAGATACTGATATCATTTCCTTTGGATATATACCCAGAAGTGGATTGCTGGATCATATGGTTTTCTACTTTTAATTTTTTGAGGAAACTCCATACTGTTTTCCATAATGTCTGTACCAGTTTACATTCTCACCAATAGTGTACAAAGTTTATATTTTCTTCACATCTTCATCAGTATGTTTTTTTGTTTTGTTTTGTTTTGTTTATAACAGACATTCTAATAGATGTATGGTGGTATCTCATTGAGGTTTTGTTTTGTATCCCCTGATGATTAATGATGTTGAGCACCTTCATGTATCTGTTGGTCATTTGTATATATTTTTTGGAAAAATGTCTATTCAGATCCTTTGTCCATTTTTAAATTGGACTGTTTGTGATTTTTTGCTACTGAATTGTATAAATTCCTCACTGTCATTCACTTTATTTTTATTTTTTTTTAATGTTTATTTATTTTTGAGAGAGAGAGAGTGCAAGCAGGGGAGGGGCAGAGAGAGAGGGAAACAGAATCTGAAGCAAGCTCCAGGCTCTGAGCTGTCAGCACAAGGCCGGACACAGGGCTCAAACTCATGAAATGCAAGATCATGATCTGAGAGGAAGTCGGATGCCTAACGGACCAAGCCACCCAGGCGCCCACTGTCATTTACTTCGTATCATGCATAGGAAAGGCTGCTGGGGGAGATGGCTCCACCAAGAGTCAGACTGATATTCAGCCAAGACTGCACTAAGTCCTGTACCCCAAGGTAAGGCAAAAATTAATTACTGGTCAGGATCTGTGATAAAGGTTTTTTACCAGGGGTGGGGATAAATAAAATATGAACCCCTTATCAAATATATGTTGTGTAAATATTTTCTCTCATTCCACAGGCTTTTCTCATTTTGTTGTTTCCTTTGCTTTGCAGAAGCTTTTTAGTTTGATGTAGTCTCACTTGTTTAGTTTTGCTTTGTTGCCTATGCTTTTGTTGTCATATCAAAAAAAAGTTGCTAGGACCGACGTCAAGAAATATTCCCTTTGTTTGTTTTCTTCTGGGAGTATTGCAGTTTCAATTTTATATTTAAGATTTCAATCTGTTTCAAATTAATTTTTGTGAATGGTGAGATATAGGGGTTCAATTTAATTCTTTTGCATCTGAATTCCAGTTTTTCAACACTGTTTATTGAAGAAACTATTCTTTCCTCATTTTCTATCCTGGCTTCTTTGTCAAAAATTAATTGACATATATGTATGGATTTATTTCTGGGGACTCTATCCTGTTGCATTGGTCTATTTTTGGTCATTGGATCTGTTTCATTTGTCATTTTTTTCAAAGTTTATGTATTTATTTTTGAGAGAGTGCACGTGCACCCACGAGTGGGATAGGGGTGAAGAGAGGGAGAAAGAGGATCCCAGGCAGGCTCAGCACTGTCAGTGTGGAGCTGGATAGGGGGCTGGAACTCACAAACAGTGAGATCATGACCTGAGCCCAAATCAAGAGTCAGATGCTTTAACAGATGGAGCCAACCAGGTGCCCATTGGTCATTGCTGATAAACAGATCACTTTTTATGATCAGCCTTTAGGCCATACTGTAATATTTTGATTATTATAGATTTAAAATTTTTTCTTTCAACGTTTATTTTTTTGGGGGGACAGAGAAAGACAGAGCATGAACGGGGGAGGAGCAGAGAGAGAGGGACACACAGAATCAGAAACAGGCTCCAGGCTCTGAGCCATCAGCCCAGAGCCTGACGCGGGGCTCGAACTCACGGACCGCGAGATCGTGACCTGGCTGAAGTCGGACGCTTAACCGACTGCGCCACCCAGGCGCCCCTGATTATTATAGATTTAAATCAAGAAATGTGATGTGTCCGGATTTGTTCTTCTTTCTCAAGATAGTTTTGGCTACTCAGGGGCTTTTATGGTTCCATGTAAGTTTTAGGGTTGTTCTTTTTCTGTGGAAAATGCCACTGGAATTTTGATAGGGATTGCAATGAATCTGTAGATTACTTTGGGTAGTATGTTCATTTTAACAATATTAATTCTTCTAATCTAAGAACATGAGATACTCTTCCATTTTATTTGTGTCTTTTTTACATTTTTTTCACCAATGTCTTATAGTTTTCCGTATATATGTCTTTTACTTCCTTGGTTAAGTTTATTCCTAAGTATTTTATTATTT